TACGGGTGTAATTACGGTTACGGCGCATTGCTGCGCCACGGTGGAGAAGGAAGAGGGAACATTGTTTCTTTCTGGGAAACCGACGGGTTTATGGGGATCGTTCGTTCGCGGTTTTTTCTTGTCATGAAGCGCGCGCGCGCGCGCGAATCCCTGCGCCATGAACACCACGAAGAGGCACGAGCTCTTTGCCTTCGTCGGGTTTGTTCCCTCGCGTTTCATTCGAACCTGCTAGAGGGAGAGAGATCCGCAATGGAACGCGCGACTCGCGCATCTTCTCTTGATTATATTCGCCTGTTAATCGAGCAGCGAGTAAGCGACGAATCTTACGCGAAATTAGGTATCAATCGTGGCTGTCTAAAGGATCTCTTCTGATTTTTGGCCAGTGATTGTTGGTGAATTTTAATATGCTGTGTAATGGTGCTAGTGAGAATAGGTCGTATTTAGAAAGTAGCTGTTTTTAATTATTTTTTGCAACTTTAATCCTTAGGTGCCTAAATATGCACTAGTGCTCACTCACACTTTGGGCCAAAATAAATAAAATATACTCTGTATAAAAGTTTCTGAATGGTACAGAAACCTCCGTCTCAGATATCGACTCCCAAATGAAGAAAATTAAGAAAGTTGAGGAAAATTTTCCCAGATTTCATTATCATCGAAGAATAATTGAAAGCTATTTAGTGCCAATACTTGAAGAATAAACCACGTGAGGTACAACTAAATCTTCCTTAATTTTCGGGGATTTTCTGCCTCCCAAATGAAAACGAAGAAAATTAGAAGAGTCTAGAAAAATTGCTCAGGGACAAAAGGGTTGAGCTATCTCTCCCATAATTCTCGAACGGTAAGTAAACGGAACGTTAAGCAAATGAAAATTATATCAGCGACAAAAGACACGTAGAATAACTTGTATCACCCAAATCTCCGATACCGATACGTTACACGTATATTATCGCATTGTTGGGAAACATTAAGTGGCTCTTCTGCTAACAACCCCTTGGCCAATCCTCCACTTGCTAGTACGCGGCAACGTGTACATACACAGTTGTCCGTTTAGAGAAGAATGCAGTCCCATTCCTCCCTTCGATTAGTTTCCCCTGCTATACTCTCGGTGCGCTACATCTCGCGCGATTACGCTGCTTTATGACGTTTCTGAAGTGCGGCAGAAGGTGAGCGACGGTGGTGAGAGTTCCTTCTCCAGAGCCCGAGGAGGCTTTACGGGTACGGGACAGCGTTTTTCCTTCCGTCCCTCCCTCGTGTGCTTGTGCTCTCTTTCCTCGCATCTTTGTCGAGCCTCGTAAAAAAGTAAGCACGTTGCCTAGGCTCGGTTCTGGGCGTGGCGGTCGACAAAAAGAAAGAGAACGGCGATAGAAAGACGAGGGAAGAGGGAAGGGAAGAAAAGAGAAAAGTAGAGAAAAATAGAAAGGGCGGAGAGGAGGAGGAGGAAAAGAAGGGGGGAAGAACTGCAGAGAGAAAGAGAAGAAGGGAGAATGGGTGGAAGACAGACAAAAAGGAGGATGAAAGGGAAGCAGCGAGTCTTTCAGAGAGAAAGAAGGAAGAGAGAGAGAGAGAGAGCGACGTAAGATCTTGCTTCGTCCGTGACTGGAGGGAATCTCTAGTGGGATAAGATGGACCCCATGGGCCCCGATGGTTGGTTACACGAGGGCCAGGGTTAGCCCTCGGGCAACATTCCCCGGTAATGGTCGGGTTATACCTCGGGTAACACAGGTGCCCTCGGCTACGGAGGGAGAGATCGCACAACGAAAGAACTCCAAGTTGACTTACGACTTTCTCGATCCCCCTGGCCGCCTCGCGATACATCCATCTATCTCTTGGTTCGACGATTCCGGTGCCAATTCCGGGGATCAAAAACCAAGCCAATGCTGCGTGGTGTTGTGGTGGTAGCCACTTGGTGAAGAGTACAGAGATAAGAAGAGAGGATGAGAGAGAGGAGTGAGTGGTACAGGTGAAACAGAGGGAATGGTAGGCGGTGTAACATCTATACACTTTTAGAGGAGATACTCTCTATTTACTCCTCTGCACTTTTACCGAGAAAAGGAGAATAATTGATACCAGAGAAGAAGGAACCACAGGCGAGAAGAAGGAGAAAGAATTTCTTAAAAGGATGTTCTGTTTGGAACGTCGGACAGGTAGTAGTGGTAGAATCGGTGTAAATCGAAAAGACCTTCTCGAAGGACGATAATTCCAAGGTGCATTTTTTCGTAAGTTTCGGGCTGACTTACAATACCCGCACGAACTTTTCTTTTTAATGACGCTGCTGACTCTCTCTTGCCTGCCACAAGAAATACGATGTTCTGACCTTCTTAGGTCGCCACCCCCAACCTTCTTCTCCCGCGTCTGCCTTAACCTTCTTCTTCATCTTCTTCCCTTCTTCGTCCTTCCACCACCTTCTGCTTCTTCTTCTTCTGCTGCTGCTGCTTGGATTTCTTCTTTTTCGTTCCTCTCATCGTCCTGCTGTCCGTTCTCTTCTTCTTCTTCTTCTTTCTTCTTCCTGCGTACACGGCGTGCTCTCGCTTCCCTTTCCTCTCTGTGTCTTTCCCTTCTTCTTCTTCTTCGTCCTCGTCTTCTTTTACCGTGCAAAGGGGAAGGCAGAGCAGAAAGGAAAGCGGAGAGACGTCGGTGAGAGAGGGCCCGGGCAGTGGGCCTCTCTTCACCGTGGAGGAGAGTGCATTACATCCCCCCGGCTCCTTCTTCTTTCATCCTTGGCCGGCTCCACCGCGGAATGTGGCTCGATCCGCTCCTTCGTGTCTGAAAGGCAGCATGCCACACGTGGCACCGGACGTCGACGAGGTGGACGGCTGGGGCTCACTGTAGTATCTCGGGCAAATCGAAATATGCTAAATACAGGGTGTCCAAGAATCCTCGACTCCTACTTGCCTACCTCGCTGTGTGAAACTGACGATGGAAGAGCACGGAGAGAGTGAGAAAGGGAGAGAAGATGAGTGAAGAGAGAAAGAGAGAGACGCGGAGAGACGAATCGAGGCGCGGCTGTTCGAACACGAACGACACTACCCGGACCGGCTTCACGACGTGAAGTTTTATTGAAGAGCAGATGTTTGAAACGTAACCTGTAATGATTCCACGTTGTATATATGTGTACATATACATTCTCTCGTTGTGCTCGTACGGTTTATGGTTTTGCCGATGAAGCAGCGTCACGATAACATATTTTATTGCGGGACCAGGTTGATAATGGTAGCCGAGGATCTAAACGGGACGAGCACCGAGAGTTTCGGTCACTGACATCATCTCGCCTCGCTATCCTTTATAGGTCGCCGGGAGTCAGGGGGTTTATGCGTTCCGTGAAAACTGTTTCGCTGACGCTTCTGTGAAACGACAACCCCCCTTGGACTGATTGTTCCGGAACGTCGAGAGGTGGCTTGAAGGTCGGTTAGGGACGTTGTAGGATGGTGTGGGTGTCGTGCTTTTTGGGGTACCTTTTCGTTCCTCCATGTGGTGGTCAGCTTCTGTGATTTTGTTATTGAGTATTTTGCATTGATTGGATGGATAGTGGGTTGTTCACTGATTTCGTAGCTGTAAAGAGAATCCCTAGATAGTTTCATAGCTCTGAATAGATGCCGAATGTGATTCCATTACAATGACAATAATTTCTCAATGATTCTACAATCCCGTGAATTTCTCAGTGATTCCATCGTTTTGTAGGAAACTACCCCTAATTCTCTACTACTCTCTGATGAATTCACTGTCGTTCCGTCGTTCAGGTTTTGACAGATTTCCAAATTCTATCGCTCAGATTTTCAAATTTTCCAATTCTATCGCTCAGACCTCCACAGATTTCCAAATTTCCCAATTTTATCGCTCAGCTCTCCACAGATCTCCCAATTCCATCGGGAAGATCTCCACAGATTCCAAACTCCATCGCTCAGATCTCCACAGATTTCCAAACTCCATCGCTCAGATCTCCACAGATTTCCAAACTCCATCGCTCAGATCTCCACGAATTCCCCAATTCCATCGCTCATATCTCCACAGATTTCCAAATTCAATCGTTCCGAGGAAAACAAACGATCACTCTCCGAACCATTCCCCAACGATTCGGTCGCTCTGCAAAGAGAGGTCCCAGAGCAGGAGCGCGTAAGCGGTCGATGGTGTGGCGGTGGCATAGCACCTAGCGCATGATCGTGGCGCGCAAAGGGGGCCCCAGTTCCAGGTTCCAGATCGAGTTCCAGTTCGGAAAGCGCGTCGCGTTGTCGCGCCATGAGGGTCTGGGAGCCGAGTGTCTGGCCCCATGTGGGCAGGACAGGTTTGGGAGCCCTCTCATTCACGAACATCTCCTCGCCGACAAGCTCTTTCATTGTTTCGCTCGTTTAGGGGTATCGGCATTTCGGACCATCAGCCCGTGCAAAAAGTCGAGCGAGGAGAATGGGTCTCCGGGCTCCACGCAACGACCATATCAGGGCACCGTGGACGCGTATGTGCGGCCCTTGTACGGGCCCATTTCACTCGAGCCAAGTCCCCGAATGTCGCGACTTCTCCAACGAACCAGACACACCGCGGTATTCCCTCCGCGATTATAATAAACGAACACCGTTCGCTACCGATTCGATTAATTTGTCACTCGAGACGACAGTCTCTCTGCTCCGGGAAGAAGATCATCGAGGAAGTTTCGCTCTTCGGAATTCCGGGGCCATCTCTCTCCACCGTTTCATATTTACCGTGTCGCGGCCAAGGAATTTTGTTGTTTTAGTGTTTAACAAGGTTGATACCGTGAATCGAGGAAACTTGGATTTCTCTTTTTCCAATGGATAATTAGGTAGGAATTTCTTCTTTTTTTTTTTCCTTTCTCGAGGTAATATGTTAATTCTTACGCGTCAATTGTTGCAAGGAATAGTGGCGGTTGATCGAAGTTAATCGTTGAGAAATAACGTCTTATTTCTATAATCGAGAAATGTGCAGTTAACGAATGAAAATTTGTTTGTTTATCAGCGGAACAGTGTTAATTGTTATATTTTCGAATGTTTCAGACGGCGAGTACCTCTTCGTCGATCCCGAGAATAAATTAAGCAAATACGCACCGAAGAATTGGCGAAGTTCTCATACCTACGTAAGTAACATTCTAGCAAAAACGACAAAAAAAATACGTTTACACAAATCCCGGTATATCACCATTTACATTTTACCACGCGTTATTTATTTCACACGCAAATCGAAATCCGTGCTACGAAGTGAAAAGGCGGGAAAGAAGAAGCATGAATTACACGGTAACACGATTGTGTCCCGCGTATAAATGCACACTGGAGGAATTCACAAGGTTTTAGATGATTCAGATGTGAATTTGGCCATGTTGCCGACTAAACGTGATACGCCCTTGACGCAGAATAACGCGCAAGCATATTCATACAATACAAGCGTGTGCAAGTTTTCGCCACGTGAACCGTGAATTATTTTCGCTTCAATCCCTTCTCCGCGTCCTCACCTCGGCGCCTTAATCGTTCGATAAAATTGCGCTATTTAATTTTGGACAATCGTACAGCACCGGCTATCATCTGAAATAAACTATCTGTCCGCCGTATAAAAGGCTCGATAAGCCGTTTTATATACGCCGTTAATGTTTTTACCTGTATCGGAATAATGTAAAGCCGCGGGGTCTCTAAAACGAGTTTGTTATCGTGCTTATCGTTTTTATTAGGAGACGAAACGGGGCAGTCAAATTTAATTCACAAAGCGGCCGGAGACGCGTTCCACCGCATTAAATAACGTTCAAACCGTGGATTGTGTTGACATAATTGCCGAGCGTTTTGTTATTCCCCCCCCCCTAATTAAATACTTATAACGTAAATTATAGCAACGAAAAGAGTGTTGTACTATCCATTGCGCGGGAGAATTTGTAGCACTGTATCTTATTAAAAAGGTAGGAATTTTTTTCTTTTTTTTTTAACACTAAGATAATTCTTGTACAAAAGAAACAGCCAAGTTTTCAATACCATAAAAATGTACAATCGTTACGCGAACTTGAACAGAAAGAGATATTCAAAAGTTTCATCTTACACGCCTCCATGTTTATAAACCAATTAATCATCAAGCCACAAACGATAATCGTTGATACTCATCTAGCTTGGGCTTAAATAACTTTTCTCCAAGGATCCTCTTCGAAACAGGAGATAAAAAGAAGCGAAAAAAAAAATATATATATGTGTGTGTGTATAAGTCGATTCAAGGAAAGATCAGTCCTTTTTTTCTTTTTTTCGAAGAGAATATCGCGATAATTTTCGAATGTATAGTTAACGCCAACGACAGTGGGCATATGTTGGTCATGTGCCGGATAATATAACGTATATACACGCGACTGGGTCGAGATACTCGAACGGTAAGTCTCGTCGCGAGGAATCGAGAAAAAGACGATTTAAGAGCAAAAGAAGCGAGCACGCTCCCGGCGAAAGAAGAAGGGTGCGTAGAAGGTCCTCTTCGGTCAAATTAGCATTTCCATCCGCGGGTGCACGATGGCGGCCGTGGTTTTGCCCGGAGGGTAGCGCTAAACGAGCGTACAACGGCAGTCCTCCTCAAGACGAGTAGCTTCGCAATATACCCCGGCAACTCGTCGTCGCCACTACGGACAACTCTCGGTGTGCTCTTCTGCCGCTTTGCTTCTTCTCCGTTTGCCCCTCTCTCTCTCTCTCTTTCTCCATGGTACGCTTGATGAATAGCCTCCCGGTGCTGTTTATTATCGATACCTTTCATATTTTCTACAGGAAGTTCCTGTAATTCTTTCCTCGTATCGGCTCAATCGTATTTTCGTTCGCCTGCGCTTCTTGATGAATGGCTATCTGATGGTATTTATTACCCAAGTATTTTTCGAAACGAGATTATGTATTTCGACGAAGCTAATTCGAGGTTATGTTTTTGTATTACAAACGGAATTCTTTTCGAACGAATTTTATTTTGCACTAAAGATCGATGTTTAAATCAATTTTAGAAGGTTTCACTGTTGTTGAGAAAGTTGTTTTAGTTGTTAAATTCGTTGAACGAAACAGCAGTGTCACTTTTACTTTCGAACTATTCCAAGCACACTGTTCGTAAACGAATAGATGCAACGATATCTATGTTTCTCGTACCTAACCTCAAACCTTAAACCTCCGTGATACATTCATAATATACGACGATTATTAACCGCAAATTATTCCACACTTTCAATATCTTACCACCGTGTGTAACCCCTTCCTCTTCTCGAAACAATTTCAACGATTCCACCAACGGGCAGACTCTCCCCCGGGGACGGTCAGAACCGCAGGAATTTGTCAACCGCGTGCAACGCGTTCGATCGGGCGAGCAACGGGGAGTTGACCAGTGGAAATTACGTATTGGTGGGGCAGCATGCGCTAGAGAGAGACAGAGCGCACCGCCTCGTGCGATATCTTCGTATCTGCTCGGAGCGGTGGGACCCCTGTTTCGCTAATGACGGTCCACACCAATAACCAATAAATACTGGCTCGGTAAAACCGGGCTACCGGACTACGTGCTTATCTTGGAGGAACATCGGCTGCGAGGATTTTCTGCAGTCGTGCGAGAGAGGTCCTCGGCTATTAAAACTGGGCCCCTCCCCTATCGGCGCTTTCTGCCATCCCCACCATAGACGCGCGACCATCTTTCTTTCTCTTTCTCTCGTTCGTTTCTTTCTGCATTTGCTCTCTACGCTGGTAGATGGGGTTTCGCATACACGCGGTTTGGAATTTCGTTAGTGGAGCCACCGTGTGTGAATATGCTGGCGTTAACGAACCTAAAAGCGTAATCGATCTCTGGCCAAGGCGTGCACGGTTCTTTTCGAGCTGTGCATATGCACGAGACGCCGATGGAATGTGACGCGTACGTAGCCGAACCACCGCGTCGCACTTTCGGTTTCCATCGACGATCGCAAGTGGCCGTTGTCCACTGAGGCTTTCACGGGCTTGACGAACGGTATAGATGGATGTCTAATAGTTGGTGAAATACACCGTGCTTCGATGTGTGCATTTGTTTGCGTGTGTGTGTGTGTGTGTGAGTTGATAGGTTTTTAAGGTTATTAGCATCTTTGTATCGAATTGTTGATATCATTTGGTGAAATTTTTATTATTCAAAATTACATTGTTTATTTAATACGATATGTATACAGAAAAAATTTAAACGACGGACCAATCGAGTAAAGATTACCAACCAATCCTCGATGTTCCTTTTCGAACATTTGTCCGCGTGTTGCGTGGAAAAAATGATTGAGATATTGTTTGAAATAACAGGCGCGAAATGATATATAGCGTTGCTTACTAATGGACAAGATTTATCGGTGCGTGTATGCACGCACTATATCCAGCTGAACATGCTGTAGAAATACCTATAAGTGGGCGATTACCGTGGCAACACGCCAGGCGCCAAGTAACGGCAGTAGTCAACATCAACAATACAGTCCCGCGAACCCACTGGACCATGTTAAATGCAAGTATATAATCAATTTCATGCTGTCTGTTGCATTGGGCGCGTCGCTTGTTGGTCCTCGTCATTAGCACAAAATTGCAGCCGCGTTTATCTACGAGCGTATCCGCATTCGTTTTGAAACGACGATTCGTTCCGACCGTTCAAACCCGCGACCCGGAATGTCGTGCTTGTTGCATGGCTTGTCTCTTACGTTTCGCGTCAACGTGAGATCGTGCTAGCGATTAAATCGAGGAAGTAGCAAATTGTGCATGCACGCGAGGTGTAATGTCTGAGAGGGCTTGTAGAATGAATTAAATTCTAACCTTAATGCAAAAAAAGATCGTCGATCTAAGAAAAAACTGAACGAACGAAATAAAATTTCGTCAAAAAGTCTCTGACAGCTGCCAAAAAAAAAGAAAAAAAACAAAACAAAAAAGTATTACTACAGCCGAATTCCTGTCTGATCGACAAAGACTTATCGCGATCCAATAATCAGCGTGAGCCACACCTGCTAGCACGGCGCGGAGCTTCAATGTCGTCCACGTTTTCTCGACGTCGGTATAGGTGTAGCTGGCTACGTGCTACACGCTCAGAGATACGTATAGTAGTCTCTCTCTCTCTCTCTCTCTCTCTCTCCCGTATCCGGAGCGTGTGTATGCAAATTCCAAGTGTTTGTCCCGGACTCTCGATTTTAGCGGCGACTGTATCCGCGGGCCATCCGAGAACGCCTGTGTGGCGACGTGTGGTAGAGACGAACGAAGAGGCGGGGGCCGAGGACGGCGGGGGAGGGAGAGGTGGAAGGACGAAAGAGAGGCAAAGAGTGGACGAGTGGAACAGAAGTGGGAAGATGGAGAGGCATACACCGTGAGGTGGATTAATATTTATGGTTCGTAAAATATGCGGATGGAGCCGACGGTATAATTTGCTACGATTTGACCGGAGGGTCTAGGTCTAGACATAACCAAGAAACCCTTCTCGGTTTAATTTTCGGCTACCGAATTTGGAGCGGGCTTCGTTATTGGTACCTGTCTCCCCTCGTTCCGTTCTTCGGCTCTTTCGTCCTTCCTCTGGCCCCATCTTCGTCCTCTGTCCTTCAAATTCTCTTTTTTTTCCCTTCACCCCTACTGCCCACCGCTTCTCCACGTCTCCCCCTCCCTCCCTTCCTCCTCGCTGCAGCGTGCTACTCTCTGTTCCAAAGTTGAGTCTCTGTCTCTGTCCGATGATGTATCGGTCATTCCGCGTACACTTCTGAAAAGTAGGGTTTAAGGGGCAGTGTGCGTGTGCCTCCTAATTTCTATCGGTGAAACCCACGAAATCCTTTCGATTGTCGAGTTTCAATGGAACTATCTACCGTTACGGATGGATCGAGCTGTGTTGGCTGGTTGGTGTTGGTGGGTGTGGGTGAAACGAAATTAGGATCGGATCGATGGACCGGCTTCTTCTCGTATATTATGAAGCGTCGTTTATTAGTCCGTCGGAGAAATAAGAGGCTACCGTAACAGAACGGCTTTATGGTCGTTCGCATTTTTACGATAGGGATACCTGAGTATTTCGTCATCGGTTTATATACGCTACTACTCGAAAGTAGATCACCGGCGTACGTTGCGTAGAAAGAGCTTGATGAATATTAACATTTCGTTGACAGGTGACGAGTTTACTTATTCTTAACTTACCGTTCGAGGTTATGGTAGCGTAAAATTAGTTGCGAAATAATCCGATCGTTCAGTCATTGAACTTTTTATTTCGATCGATTTTCCTGACATCTTTAACCTTTTTCACACAGTTCTTTACGACGTTCCCCCCTTAATACCAACTTACTAAAAAAACTAACATATCATAGACGTTAATTTCATCGTAAAACACTCTCCGCAATCTCGACGTCGTCAGAGAAATAAAAAAAACACATTAAACAGTCATTCCTGTCAGACGCACACCGAATCCAACGGATTCGTCTCGTTATCGGTGTTCGAATCTCGCGGTCTCGAGTTTCACGACCGAGAGAGAGCCAGAGAGAGATCCTCGGTCGAATTTAATCCCGATTCCCGGTGGAACGGGTCACGGTAGCTACCGTGTTTGAGAACGCGTGGGTAGGGTGGCGCGCGTGGGCACACATTCACGGTTTGGTGGTGTCGCCCACGTCGCTCGGCGGTTTTTCTTTCGACGCATAGATGGTAGCTCGCTAGCCTGCCAAAGTTAATGTTCGCGGACAACACTGCCCCGACCGGACAGAAGGTAAATCTGTGAGAGAAGATTTATGCCGCGTTTCGCGTCCTGAATGAACGGCGCGTATTGTTAAATACGTCAACGACACAAAACGCCATGGTAATATCGGGTGTTATCGATTCAACGAGCGGATAATACGAGCGGTGCCTTTTGTTTGATTTAGTTGATCGACGCGTAGTGTCGCGTTGTTTATTCTACGTAGCTAGGGGAACAATTCAATTATCAAAACAGGTTATTGTCTCGATAGTGAATGTGTACGACTTGAATTATTGGTAATAGGATTTGTTCAACGTTGTTCTTAACGTGTCGTTATCGAAGTCTTCCATGTTTTGTACGATCGATCCTGTCGATTATGTTAAATCGATATACACTTCCCGTTTATATGTCGTTCGTAGCCGGTACATTTCAGAACGGTGAGGAATTTGTACATGTTACCGAGTGAGTCGAGTTATAAAATGAAATTTTAATATTTACCGATTGGTACTATTGTAGAGGAAATGTAATGTAACGCAACTTGAAACATGATACTATTTAGAAAACGACGAAGAATCGTTATGTGCATGCTTGTGAAATATGATCTGGCATTTTAAATGAAATTTTGTAAAAAGGAAGAGAAACTATGAGAAGAATGAAGTATTCCAATAAAATCAATAGGGAATGAATTCTACCTGGAGTATCCTTCGAATTAGTTGACCAATTAAAATTTCATCTGCTTGACGAACCAATAGAGTGAGCATCAGTTTAAATAAGAGCATCAAGAGGAAAGGATACCTGGGTATCAGTCTGATCGAACTTCAGCAAAATTAGCTAGATTCCAAATTAAAATATTAAAATATTTTTCAAATTCTATTTTAAGAAATATTATTATTTTAAACGAAACTTTTAACAAATATCCCTGTACTAAACTCAACATTAAACGATGCAACGATTAAAATAAAAACTGAAAATTGAAGTGAATCACTTTTATCTGATTTTTTCCAGGGCTTAGACAGCAGCGGAAGACCAGCCTTCGTCCTTTACTTTCGAGTGCGCTACTACGTGGATACGCCATTGCTTCTAAGGTAAGATGCAATACACTTCGATCTTCTTTACCCTTCGCCGTATAACAACGAGTCAGACTCGTGCCACAGATTTTGGTCAAGATCTGATAAAAACAGTTGTATCGGTAACAAAAATTAATTTTAATTCCAATTTTCGATTTAATTTATAAAGTTTAACTAATCTACGATACGTTAAATTTTCTCACTTGATACAGTACTAAACCAGTAAATAGCCGACGTTTCAAAGGAAATCATACGTCAAGGGGTTAACTTACAATCGCGATCTCTCTGTTTTGCATAATCATTTCACAAATTCACTGTTATACGTACTCTACCATCGAACACTCTATTCCACATGTTCCACCAATCCCTCTCTCTTATTCCTTCTAATTCGTTCTAACATTAAGCCCGGAGAAACAATTATTATAGGAGCAAATCGAATCGGATTGAATCCTTTGGGGCGAATAAAAACTCCGGTAGTCGGATCGAGGCTACGCAGGCTGACAAATTATTCACTCGAAAGAGGCTGGCCACTCGTAGGAAGCTAAATTAGTCGAGGACGCTCCGGCCATCGGACAGGCTCCCAAATGGATTGCAGAATTAATCGGAGTAATTAGCGTTCCGCTTCAAATACTCCCCTGGTGCCACCGTAGCCGGGCCAAACTGGCGAACCCGCGCGTAGCCTACCGGCCTCCTATCTTACACTTTTTGCTCTCTTTTTCCTAACCTCGATGTATCGCGATTATAAGGGTTCCTGGCTTTGCCCTGGGGACCGAGACGTAAGAAAGGGACAGTCGAAGAAATAAGACAAGAGGCTGAACTTAAAGAGAGCACCGGAGACTGACGGAGGGAGAGACGAAAAAAAGATTTTCACAGTGTTGAGTGTACACGTGTTGTACACGCTTATATACAGGGTGTGATCGAATAATTCATTTTCACAAACAAACGTAATTTCCTTTCTTTCTATTTAACCCCTTTCGATGCTATCGACGAAAATCTCCTTACCACTATGATCCCGTTGATTGAAGCCTTTTGGTACACTTCCAACTTAAGCCTTTGTACGCTTCAATATCGATCTAATAAACCGAATTTCAAATCGATACGTCCAGAACAACAAATTTTGCAGCCTCGGTTAAAAATTTACCCGTCACTTTTAAATATAACCCGATCAATCAGACAATTAAGTAGTATCTAACAATTAAGTTCATCAACCCTTTAACCTACAACAACGTGTCAGACTCGTGGCAGAGATTTTGGTCAAGATTTGACAAAAATAGTTATATTAGTAAGAAAAATTCATTTTAATTCTTAATTTCGTTTTAATTCGGAAGGCTGAGGATTGCTAAATGTAACTGATCTGTAACAGATTACCTTTCGTTACCTGATACAGTACTAAAACAAATGGCTGACGCTTATATACGTAGTCAGAAAAGAAATCATAGGTTAAGGGGTTAATGTCATTAATCGTATATTGGCTTCTAACTTTATACATGGTTGCTATTTGTAAACCACGAAAATCAAGTGAAATTAACTCACCCCTGTATTATAACAGATGACACGAATGAATTTTGAAGCAAACGTTATTCACAGAAACGGCAAATCTTTAAAAAAAATAGGATAATTTCTAAGAATTTATTCCTATATTTTTAAATGGTAATAAAAATTCGTAGCTGAACAGTATCGTATATTAAGTTACACACCCTGTATAAGAAAGCGTTTCTTGTCGAGGATGCAGGCGGTAAAGGAGGAAGAATGAAGAAGAAGAGAAGGACAAGAAGGGAGGAAGGAAAGGGGTGGCTCGCTGGAGGGATCTCCCTCTCATGAAACGAAATCTCGACTCCTGTCCGGTAGCTAAGTGCTACCTACTCTTGTAATTATAAATTATTACGTGGCGCGTGATAGATAGACCGTACGCATTAAATGAAAGCACTCGTCCCAGTAATTATACTGATCCGTAGTTGCTTTCTGATTTCCACCCGAAACCCGTGATTTACATCGAGCCACGCCGCATTCGCCGCACGTCCACGTCGACGAGGGTTTAATTCGTGAAAGGACCAACACGCTCGACGGACACAACTCGCAGACGACCCGACCTCGGCTCGATCTCTTTCGTTCATTCTTGCGTTTCTTCGCGACGTCCTTGATTAATTTTTTACCCACGCTTCGACTTCCAAATCTGACGTGGTGTTATTACATTTTTTCTCTCTCTCTCTTTTTTCTTTCTTTCTTAAGCTTCATACGCACGAAGCGTCTGTATCATTAGCCGTGTTTAAAATTCCAAGTTTTTTTGGGGTGGAACCTTTGGAAATAAGGTAAAATCGTCGCACTCAGATATTTCATCGTAGAAACAATGTTGATAATGTATCAATTCGTGTGACACTTGTTCCACGTATTTTACTTGGAGCCATTCGATCGAAGAATATCGTTTCTTGGGTTAAGAAGCATAATAGAGATTTACTCAGTGATCTGTTATAACTGTTTCCTTGGAAATTGATCGCGTGATTATTTACGGAAGATTAACCCTTTCGTGACCAATGGGACGTGGTGTGTCCCACTCGAACAAAAATTCGTCTCAATTTCGTATCCCTTACAGACACGATGATCGGTCGATAAGTAAGAAATTCTTTAAACAAAATTCGCTCACGAAAGGGTTAACAGGTCTTCTTAACCGTATCATTTTCTTGTAAGAAGAAATAACATCGGCGATGTTTAAAATGAAAATTTAGCCCCGTTCATCCTACCCTTGAGACTTCTTCCAGATATTTAAATTAAAAAATAAAAATAACTTCCCTCGGTTGGCGCAATCTTTCGTAATCGCGGCGTATTCTGCAGATTTATGAGGTCAGTTTCTATCGTAACGCGTAACGCGTACAAAGTGTATCGAACGTGACTTTGCGAAGCTCTCAGGTGGACATTGTTGTTTATCATTACGTGATGCTGCATGACGATGTGTCTTTCGACGCACGTCTCTCCTCGAGATACGGCCAGTTTTCTGAAAGCGGATCTACGACGCAACTCAAAAGGGGGGGGGGGGAACCCCGTGCTGTCATTCAAGCAACGTAGTTTCACAAGCTATGTTTTCGTTTCCTTTTTTTCTTTTTTCTTATTCAGTATACTTGTGACGTTACTTGCACAATTCCTTCTACTCTTTTTGTAATTTGTCTCCTTTATTTTCTTTCTTTTCTTCTTCTTCTTCTTTCGAGATTAGTAATGAAGATGACTTGAACTTTGTATTATGTTACTTTCCACAAGCAAATTGGTTTAAATCTTAAATACCACGCGCTGGAATCACGCTTAATCTATTCGTAAAGTATACACGAGAATTAATATAAACGTCCACGGAAGTGTATAATACACCGGGTCCTCCTTCACCGGTAATCCGACGTTAACGTTAATTTTACAGTGGCCGAGTGTCTTCTTATTTTTTTCTGTTTCTTAAACAAGTGATAATTATGCAGTCTGTGTGTTCAGATCATTGTTTCGATACCACGCCTTCCGGTTCACGGTGAATCGCGGGTTTTCTAGCAATGGGATTCTTTAATTGCGCAGAGGGACACTGATTGCGCGGTATTATATTCATTAGCTAATGAGAATTCTCGAATCACGGAAGAGTTTCCAGCCGAGGCTAGCGAAACGTCCGGTCTTTTTTCGACTAGCACCTCTTTCGACGGACTGCGTAATCTCACATTTTTTCTTCACTTTTGTGTCGAAAATATTCAACCACTCCGAAAACGACGATTTTTGATATTTTTGCACAACAGAAAATAGCGAAACAATTGATACTAAGTATGACTAAGAACAACTTCTGTAGTTATGAATAATACATACAAAATTAAAAATCGACAAAGTACGTTTCAATAAAATTGCGTAATTATTTTTACTTGAAATGAATTTTCAAATTTTTACATTCTGCTTATTTATTGTTACAGTATCGCACTGTTGCATTACTACCGAGCAATATTTCGTTTTTTGCCTCTCCCGTGAAAATTTAATCGGCAGGATTAACAGAAAATCGTTTCTCCTCGTCATCGACGAGGAAAAACGAAGTTACGCGAAGGTTCAATTTTACAGAAATAAATTTCAATATATTCCAGATACCTGAATAGTTTTACTTACTCTATGCGTTTTTTTTAATAATACGAAGAAACAGCGGACAAGTAGAATCATACTTCTCAACATAACCTTACTTCACTCGACGTCGTACGATCGCGTAATGTTCCCAAACTTTCACCGCGCTGGTGACCACGTGTTAATTTCACCACGATTAATCAGTCACACTGTCTAACGCTGTACATTCGCGTGTCAGCGGTCGTATTAACATAGAGTAGCCTCGCGAGCAGATTTACCTGCAGGCGTTAGAAGTATATTTCTCTACATATACGTGTACACATATTTTTAAAAGTAAAATATGCCGGTTACGTTGATGGCGCGCGAGCGAGAGGCGCCTCCACCGTACACGAATACGTTCCGTATAACGGATAGCGCGGCGAATCGCGAAAACCCATTTGCATAATTAATAATAATACCTTGCCATTTCTGTGAGTTATGCTTCTCACGGTTACCAAACGCCTTCCTCCTCTTACTCCGCCTTCTTCTTCGCTCCTCTTCCCCCGTAGGATCGATCGTGTACTTTTGGTGAATGGTTCTTCGATATTTCTGACACGCTCGTCGGGATTATCAATCGTATCGTGACTGATGAATAATTAACACTCGGTGCTTCTACGTAGATAAACATTTCTCTCTCTCTCTCGATTTGGCCTTTACAGCGTCACGTTGCTGATTGAAAAATTGATCTTATTTTTGTCAATTTTAACTTCTCCATTTTGTAACGTATTTTTTCAGTCGGAGGAAACTTTTCGTTCTAGTAGTGATCTATGAAAGAAAAGTTCCGAAAAGTTTAGCTGTTTTTTAGATAAAACTCGGTGAACGTTTTCTGGGTAAAATTGGCGATTATTGGAAATGGGTTATGGAATGAAATAGTCTTTTAACTTTATAATATACGATTTATTTACGGTCTCAGAGGAAACGTCTTTACTCTATTGAATCTTCTGAAGGACTGTTTCTGGACACCCAAAAGAAAGTTGAGGTCCCCTTATACCTAGAAACTGTTTACATTATGGTATGGCATTGTGCAGTGAATGACTCGAAGACGGACACCAGATGCATCTGGTGGAAGTCCTAGTGCCTTTGTTTAAAATAACCCGGAGACATTTTTGTCCTCGCTTGATTATTTCCATAGGGTGTTGTTAGAAATAATCCAACAGCGATCAACCCTTTGCGGTCCAAATAGTCCAGTTAGTCTGCACTGATTTGGTCACTCTTGGGCGGTACCGCGTAGTTTCCCTTTATTTCAATATTTCAGCGTAACATTAGTTATACAATACTAAGCTTCGGTATAAAATGGGTTTTTATAATTTATCATTGTATGATACCTGAAGGCAAATATGCTTACGTCGTGAGTCGACATAGGACCGCAGAGGGTTAAAAATTGCAGAAAATGGCGAATGTGAAGAATGAATGGTTGAATTGGCATTTCAGCGATGAGACGACACGTCACCACTATTACCTGCAACTGCGCGACAATGTCGTCAGGCATGGCGGTGGGGTGGAGAGCCTCCATCCTCACCATCCCCTACATGAACCATCTATCATTACGCCCCTGCTCACACTCGCGGGTCTTGCCCTACAAGCCGATCTTGGGGACTACTCCGAGGAACGGCATAGGCCACACGCAGGACCTGTGGGATATTGCAAGCCCACGGATTACCTTCCGCCTCACGTAAGTTCTTCATTTACTGTACAACCTGGTAAGTTAGTTTGAAAATCGTAACTATTGACGCGGTCACTGCTCACGTTGGTCACCTGTGACCGGAGATGGTTTCTCAGCAGGGCCACGATGGTCATCGGTGACCGGAAGGGCCTCGAATGTTTAGAATACAGTAGATTCCCGTGTAACGCGAATTTCTATACGTCAAAGATATTTTAAAATAAAGATGATTATAAGAAATAAGATTGTTAAAATTATAAGATATGTTAGGTACGGCAGTCAGGTGCTTCAATCGTTTTAGTGCCGCGGGTTATTGCAGAAATCTAATCGAAAGGTGCCAAGCGGCTTCTTTCAATTCGACGTCGAAAAATGACGAAAATTCTGTTCTCGACATTTTCACCGAATACGACTGCTCGGAAATAACACGAAACAAAGGCAAAATTGTTTATGTGCAGGATTTTCGTTCGATTTTTTTTTTTCATAAGAAATGGAATAAAATTTACACTTCGTGGCCGGATAAGGTGGCACTTTTTTCTAGGCGCAACCGCGCTCTTTGGCACTCGAACGGTTCAATTTCGGTTTATCGGAAGAATACTTCAGCGGTTTAGACAGTAGCTGAATTAGCTTCGTTAAATGTAAAATGAACGATCTGTTGTCGATGTACAGATGTGCCTGGAGTCGAATGTGCTCGCCGTGCTCGCGGCACAGCACAGGGACAACCGAGGCCTCTCAAGGGAGGAGGCAGAGTTGCAATACATCCGGGAGGCGGTGCTGCTGGAGGCGCCGCTCAACGCTCACCTCTATCGGTTGCGAAGAAGCAAGAACGAGGCAGGTCCAGGACGCATACTCCTCGCGATATGCGCTCGCGGTGTGCGAGTATACGCCGAGGAGGAGACACCGCGTGTCTTCGCCTGGAACAACATTGGCAAACTTTGCTTCGACGTTAGTTTCATCCTCAATCCCCAATTCTAAACTTTCTCCTCTTCTCTTCGATTTCATTATCGAACTTCAATTCGACAATTTAGCTTTCATTCGGAATTTCCAGAATTTCCAAAAATTCGATCGTTTTGCATATGTATCGCGTTGTCGACGAATTTCACGTCTGACTTATCGAGTTCCTTTCGTTGCACAGCGCAAGAAGTTCGAGATACGAGCAGTCGATCAGCCGGACAAGCTCACTCTCTACAGCGGATGCGACGACAAAAGCAAGCTGCTCCTGGGACTCTGTCGCGACACCCATCAGTTCTCTATGGCCATAGCACCTAGAGTGAACGAGGCTAAGAGACGAGAGGAGGAAGGTGAGTTGGAATTTATTGTTCCTCTAAGCTTTCACGGAGTTTGGCTTGGGTATATCGTTCAAGATGTTACAGACGTCAGGTGTGTTATCTTTGAACGTTACTCTAACACTTTGTCGGCAATGCAGCTATTTTCTCTTTACAGTGTCAATTAGTCGCAACCAAGCTATCAAGAGACAGATTCTTATCGTAAGATTTAAAGACATGTAGGAAAATGGTGAAAAGGCTATTTGCGATCAACTACAAGCTTAAAGTAGTCACTTTGGACATATAACAGCTTCGTCAGAGTTGATAACATACGTTACTATGATGCACAACGAAACTAATTATCTTCTTGCTTTTGTACCTTTCATTTTCCCCTTTATAAACGCTTGTAAAGATTCCACATTGGTATACAACTGTATCACTCACAAGTACTTGCCTATATGTAACACTTTCTTCTATTTATTCATTAATATGATGAATTTTTGAAAAGAATTAAACTCTTTTTTTAAAATCCTAATGACTTCTTTCTTAGAAACTGATTACACGAAATTGCCCACTGAAATATAAAGAACGTTATGAACGCCGGTGTTACGTATTTTCGTCAGTTTTATCTGAAAACCAATGTTCGATTTTGTTACTCCAGAGAGGAAGGTACTTCGCGACTGCTACATGTATCCCGCCCGATGCAAGCTGAGTTTAACGGCACGCGGGGCGCGCGGTGACCAACGAATTTCTGTTATCTCGAGCACGTCGTCCAACACAACTTCTGGAATTGTCAGCGACCGGGTTCACAGCGAGGACGAGCCAGACACGGCGCCCGCCTCGACCGAATGTCTACCACGTCTTACTGAAAATACTTCGCACACCGGTGTTCAGTGCGGCGTTGTAAACGGCTCCAATGCAGACGTCGAGGACCGTTCCATGCCGTCCTCCCCAGTCTCCACGGTGGATGGTAAATTTACTTCAACTGTACAGATATAGAAATTCGTATACTAACGTTGAATGAAACGGCAGTTCAATCGAATTGACTAACGTGAAATTCTTGATGGTTACTGAGTATCGTTTTTTAATCGTACACCTTAATCGTACAATTCACCTGAAATTTTTCTCTTGAAAATTTATCACATACGCGTTTGGTACTGTTGTCCTTTTCGACGAATAAAAGTATACGAACACTTGAAATATGTAACGATTATTCTGTTCAAACGGAAAAAATGTCACTAATGAGGTAATAATTTTCTCGAAAGTCGCATTTTTAAAGCTGGCAAAAAAAAAAAAACGAGTTCAATCGTATGTACGTATCGTGTTGACCTTCAGATGACCTTGAAATTCATGTTGAACCGATTGATAGAAAGTTACACAGAAGAGGGTGCTGGTAAAATTGAATGAAAAAATTGTCCGACATCCTGTGTATGTAAGTACCCGTAATCGTAGAACTCTTGAAACAATGGTGGAATTTTCAGAAGTGGATGGTACGGACAGCACTCCTACGACGGCCGCATTACGATTGACATCGAGCGCGGCTACGGCGGCTGAGGGGTCACAATGTAGCAGCAGCTGCAGTACGGTCGTGGTTGTGAATGCACCTGCTGGTGGACCGCCGCGAATGCGGCGCACATCCGCGACTTCCAGTCTGGAGCTTGGTTACTCGCATACGGCACAGAATTCAGCGGTTTCGTCGGAAACCGCTAGCTTTCCTGGTGCCATTTACGACAGGTGCAAAAAAGGTGGCAAGTACGCGGGTAAGTTTCAATGATTCTTATCCCCTTCTTGGAAAGATGTAATACATTATTCCGTAAGCGGAGAAAGGGATATGATAATGTTTTACAAGAGGAAACATCGAAGAGATTACAAAACGAACGTTTTAATTTCTCTATGTTTTAATGTGTACTTTAATAAAAATTGCACGTTTTACAGACATCGATTGGTGATGCGTCGTACAAACAGATGTTTAATACTTGGATTGGCACTTCGTTTAACTTGTACCTTGAATATTTCAATTATAATAATTCTCTTGAAATTAGTCGTTTTAAGATTAAATATCTGAAATAACACGCCACATTTTTTTTTTATTAAGTATAAACTTTTATCGAAATGAATATGAGTAACTATTGTTCGATTAATAATTACAACATACGTTTTATGGTTACAAGGAAATATTATCGTTTCAGGTACTGATATCGCAAGTGAGACCAGCGGAGTGTACACTCTTAGAAGTAGCGAAATGCAGGACGAAAGAATGGGAGACCTATACTCGCCAACCGGTGACGCGAATGAATCCTCCGCAGCGAGCGACGTGTGTGCCTTAAGTTCCGTCCAGTCGACAACCGACGAAGCTTCTGTAACATCTGGCTTTTATACTATTCATAGTGGCCTTAGATCGGAAACAAGCGACGTTTACACGGAAGATGTTGGAACAGAAGATCAAGAACCTATTTACAGTGTCTGCAAAGGTGACGAGGATGTTGCAAATGTCGTGTCAACGATGTCTGGAGTTTCCTTAGATCAGCAACTCGAAGATTCAAGATCACGTAGCAACAGCATACTCAGTGCAGGAAGTTTCAGAGGCGATGGCAGTGATCCTTCTAGCGTTGGACCTCTCCTGTCGGCCGATGAACTTTCTGATTTAATAGTAGGCCGTTATCCACCCCGGAAGACCATCAGCAATTCCATGGACTCCGATTGTGACTATGTCACCATGCCACCACCACCTCCACCGCCAAGAACAGACAGCGATAGACAACTTCCTCCACCTCCTCCCTACCCAGTGAGCATGGACTATGCAACGATCAATTCGCCACGACCGAAAATACCGAACATCGACCGTGAACCTCCGCCTCCACCGCCGTACAATGCTACTCGTGGCGAGTTCGTACCTCTGCCACCGAGAAGAACGGATCCACCACCACCACCACCCTACACTTCACCGAGAGAAAGGATACAAATACCACCGCCTACGCCTCCAAGAAACGACGCGGTGACACCTAGAGAACCACCGCCTCCACCGCCGTATCCTGAAGTGTCTGAGGTTACTCGACAGGAGGCTATCTCGAAATTGTACCCGACAACAAGCGAGGAGATCGTGTCGAGGGTGACGTCGACGAAGATACAAACGAGCCTAGTGAACAGCAAGGTGAACGTGAATCTGACAGCCTCGAAGACAACCGGTTCAGGTCAGGCGGGAAATGACGTTGTTGCTGCGATCGCACCGAAACCACCGCCCAGAATTCAACCACCCACTTATCCCGGTGACAAAATGAAACCCACGCCGGTCCACGCTCCCGTCGCTGCCCTGGTCGTTGGCCCGAACAATTACCTGGACGTGCACGCTTCACGAGGTGGTCCGGTTCTGTTGCCTTACTTAACACCACCACCACCACCTCCGCCCCCTCCGCCGCCCATGGTTCATCCTAGACAACCCCCGCCGCCACCGCCCAGCTTGGCTACAGTTTACACAAGTCAAGTTGCTAGGTCGCAGATCGAACAGTATAAACAGCAACTCTATTCGGACGTCGATTACGTGATGTTCCCATTGAAGGATCCCGCTGTGTCGAAGCAAGAGTACATAGACGCGAAACAGGGATCACTTCTGGCCGCGATGGCTGCTTATCCTCCCCCTCCTTATCCCTCGTTTAACAATAAATCGTTAGTAATGTATCGTAGCACACCATACCTACCCGGTTCCTCGTTCTCGTCACCCACGAAATACGCTTCGAATCAGAACCTTAGTAGCAGCGACACCAGCTCTAACAATTACTTACCGCATAGTAATCTGAGCAGCCACTACGCTGCTAGTACCAGTTCGCTATACAGCGGAGCTACTTGTTCGTCGGCAGGAAGTCAGAGTCTTAGACGTGAACCGCCAGCCCCGGCACATCCTCATACGCTTCACGCGTTCACCCGGACCAGAAGCGACGAGAACATATTGAAGTGCTTCGACACGCCGTCTACCGCGAAGCTGCAATCTTTGCCGCAGCTGAAGCACCGCAGACTGCCGCCACCTCCTCCGCCGCCTCCTTACGAAATTCAGGTATCGTGTAATGATCACGTGATTGTGATGTTAATTACGATAGATAGCTTGTATCGGAAGATAAAAAGTTTAGAAGGTCTAGAGCCTTCCTTTTTTTATTGAAACATGTCATGCGACGAAGAATGAAGCAATTTCTTGTTTAATTTTATAAATTTATCGACTTTGATTATTTCCTCTTTTTTTTTCTTTTCGAGTCTTATCCTTTTGGAATGCTTTCAAACTTCCGACTGGTGGTGTATCCAATAATTATTGCAAAAAAAAATTTTCCTGCTTAATTTCAGAATCTCGAAAAGAATCAGCCGCTTCCATCCGCCTCTTCGTCGTCCTCTTCGCCGAAGAAGACGTCGAAAGCAAGCACGACGGAGGAACGTGAAGAAGGGAAAGAAGACGGAATGTTGGACATTCGGACACTTCGTGAGAAGAGTCGTAACCTGGATCTACCGTTGATATCAGCGTTGTGCAACGATCGGTATCTGCTGAAACAGACGAAAGCGTTCGTTATGCCGAAGCATCCGACCGAGGCGACTTCCTCGACGTCCACGAAAAACGGCACGCGAAGCAGCAACGGCGGAACATCAAGCAGCAGGAACAAATATCCGGTGAGCGGTCTATCGACCACGCAGATCACGAAACCCCCGAGGAAATCATCGACGAGTACACACAAACACCCCGCCGAGGTGAAGGGCAACGCTTACAAGGTGACCAATTCAACCGGCGTGTCGCCTGCAAAAAAGGATCCGACAAGGGCGTCGCACTCGTAACAGGAAACAACAAGGAAATAGCAAACTGGAGCCTTTCCACTCTCTCGCGACACCATAAAAAAATTCTATGTATACCTCGATCAAAGTACATTCCATACGATACCGTTTAAACGATTCCGCTATACTTTGTCATTAAAATAACAAAAAATGCAAGACGAAGAAAAGGGTCGTCCTTGACACAATTAAGTACTTAAATAGCGTTTTCTATACAAACATACACATACAGACCGTGCTTCTTCAACTCAGGGTGCCATTTTATATCGTTTAACGATTCTTCTGCTCGTCGCGAATACTCAAGGAAGAAAGAAACAAAAAAAAGAAGAATAGTTGTTAGATTACGTTTCTCGAACGTCAAACGACACGTATATAAAACCTTCGAGCGAAGCTTGAAACAGAGGAAAGTCGACGAAGGTGTCTGTTATATATAATATCCCTTTTCTTCTTATCTGATATCATTCTTATGATCTCTCTGATATTCCTGAAAAATTGTACTTCCACCTTCTCTCCCCCTCATCCCCTTGCGAACAAAGCTTTCTTCTCGTACGTAGAATAGTAGAAACACGATATCGACAATAAAGTGTCCATTAACTCTGTATTTTGTTTTTTGCTCAAGTTAATAAGCGTGAGATGGAAAAATTGAAAGCGAATTTCTGTAAATCTTAAACGAGCGATCGGTTTTCTAGGTACTAATTACGCAGATATTTTTATACTCTGAACGAAAGCAGGTATGATTATTGTAACTAGAGAAATAGTACCTTTTCTTTTGTTATGTCTACGAAAGTAATATTTATTACCATTCAGAGGATTCTTGTCTTTGTTTTTTTTTCTGTTTTTTTTTTTGTTCTTAATAATTCAATCAGTGCTCGCTTTATGATACTTTCTCTATCGAAGCGTTTTTAAGCATTTGCGTGTACGTAACTGTAAGTGTAGTCGTTTCATTTAGGAGAATTTAAGCGTTAAGTACACTCGGTGAGAAAAAAATTATTCTTTTTCTTCCTCAGCGACTGAACATTGCTATAAGACAAAAGAAAGTGAAAGATAGATAGGATAAACGAATTCTCGGGTGACGAGAATTATCTAAAACTGCACTACAGAACACGTACTACAAGATAACATGTGACAATTACAAGTTGTACAAGATTCACCGTGAAAGGGAATCTTTCGAACATTAATATCATAGATCATAGTGTAATGGGTAATAATTTAGCCGTAACGTTGACTTATATTAATTAATACTAGATATTAATATTACAACATGACCCATGTCTGTACATAGTATTTGCGTGAAATCATAGGACTTGTTGTAGTCGGAAACCTCATGTATGTACCACGCGCCACCTCAGCTACGAATAATAAACCTTTTTTTTTATAATGAAGATCGTTACGAAAAAATGTTTCGTGTTGACTAAGTGTAATTAACAACATTTGATATTACCTTTTTTCTTCTTTACAGTTCAAAAAATTAAAATTTCGCGGTATTTTCTGCAATGGTGGTCGTTCTGAAATTGTACGAAAAGTGTTATGGAATATCATTGGTAAAACATACATTTAACACTCGCCGTTTACAGATGGCGCTGATAGTCTATCTCAGCACTGCATTTTAGAGTATAAACATTGAATTGCCTTTCGCCCAAGACAGTCTCCAGTTAATAGTTCGTTACCTTGAGACTGTTTATACTATATACAAAAGGAAGTTACTTCAAACGGGTGATTCTTAACTTGAAAGTCTCATGAAAAGACTAACGTCTCACGTACAGAAGAAGGGACATGCACGACAATACTTGTAAATTGACTCTTCATGCTTAAGTGCATGTAGTTGAAAGACGAAATCAGATAATATTTTAAACGTTAAAAATACAGCAAACGTATTACCTTGATCAAGTCTACACGCCAGTCAACGAATGCGGAACGGGGTATATATAAACTGTTGTACCTTTTACTCGTTCTTCAGTTGGTAAGACGCTGTTACGCACAGTGTGATTACGCGGAAATCTTGGATGCCGCGAAGTGTTTCGAAACAATTGGACAGCGTTATTCATTGAACAGACTTCGTAGTGACATCAAACGCTACTTTTCGGTAAGTACTGTGTTACTTTATTGTTTCGAGAATTGTTACGTGTTAATTGTGTCAAAGCCTTGATTCATGTCAGTTTCTTCATGAAATCCATAACATTCGATATTTGTTTAATATAATTTAAACGACTAAAGAAATATTCGATTTTTCGAATTAACTATAGGAGTCTGAAATGACTTCATGTTACGCATGCCTTGATTATATATGTGATTCACTAAAAAATTATAAATTGATAAGAAGGAACATGTAATGTGTGAACAATGTAATTTGACACGTAAAATATGGTGCATCAATGATATTGCAAATGCTTCTTTAACCTTTGTAGTATCGAGCAAATACACAATTCATAGAATAAAATTCCTCTAACAATGAATTTTATCACCATGCTTCTAAAACTGATTGAAAATATAACTTAAATATTGATCGTAGTAATTAAATTTCTTTAAATTATTCACATGTATAAAAATTTGATCATAAAACAGCAAAAAGAAACAACAATTATATATCATTGAAAATAGATCCAAATAACGTTATATCACGCCCTTTTTTGTTCTCTAATTATTGTAAATCTTTAGTTCGAAGGTTACTTTACTCATTCAAAGGTTACATTACCGACAGACAAAACATTTCATCGAGCGAAAAGCATAGTGATATAAGCCACTTCATGCTTATTTGTCAAACGACAATTGCTGGTGTCAAACTTAATAATTAACTAATATGCTTCAACAAGAGAGCATGTAAGTACAACACTTATACGTTGTAAATTATCTAACAAGGTACAGCACTTAAGTGTCACACGCCGATTTTAACGAAATTTGCGTATGATGTAGTATTCAAATAAATATTCATATATTATTGGGACTCTTAAAAATACATTGTTGCCAACGTTTCAAAATTGGTCAATATTGGGGAAATTACATCTACGTTTGAGTGCCACCCATTCAACGAAAAGAACCTTTTATGACGTAAGTTTTACTAAATTGTTATGTAATATATCTACATTAAAACACACAAGATACATTTTAATGAGAAAAACGAGCACGTGGTCTTCTAGGAAATGATTAGAGTGTTACAAAAAAATTTGACTGGTAGTGGCATAAAAAATATTCGAGTGAAGTTATAAAACAAAGTTATATTCTTTTGTATTCTATATAAAAGAATTCTACTCTATTACATTCTTTTGATCTATGTTGAAAAAGGAAAAAGGATAAATGCCATTAGAAACACACAAATAACCTTCGACTATCCTTGAGCCCTCCATTTACAGACTTCTAACGGTATTCTTGAACTTCGTAATTTTAGCAATTTATTGTACAGTGTAAAGTGAATCAATATATTACTTTAAATGGAAAAGCCTGCATGTTAATCTCTATTGCTCATTCGTGCAACTCGTTGTTCACAAAAAATAGTTTTCCTTCAGTTCAGCATTTTTCTTTCTTTTTTTTTTTCAATATATATTTATTCAGTGTTTTTGTGAACACCCATTGTGCTCTTACATGTAATTTTTATGGACCTTTTTACTAATGACCCATAATTTTAATGTTTACACCTAAGAGTTTTAAAAATTGAATTTTCTCGGTATAATTTTTACCGGAACAAAACGAAAATATTTCGAAGTACGATAAAAATTACGCAGAAGCTGAAACATGATCTCCGCAATGTGTAGATCACTGACGAACTTCCGTGAGATAAGTACATTGTACGCGATAATTATTCACCAATAAACAATACGAAATATAAAACAGTTTAAACAATCGAACAGATATATTCTTCTTGGAATGCATTGTGAGGTTAGACGGAACAAACTTTATATCGTAGTTGATAATTCGATAGAATGGTGGGATTCAAATAATATGTCAAAATGTCAACACAAATCAATGATTTTCACTGACCGTTATAATCTGATGATGAACGATAGTATACCAATCTGATCGTAGCGAGATTATTCTGTAACGGTACATAGAAATACGTCTTCTTTTTCTATTGATCACGATGTCCATCGTTTAAGACGCGATTTACATAACCTAAAATTTTTAATTTTTTCTTGCCTGTAAAACATTGATTTGTCTAACTAGGGAAATCCCGAAGTAATAATCACCGATTTTGATAAAATTTTGGTATGTGGTAGTTCTCATAAAAAATATTCGATACTTATCTTTTTTTTTTATCAGCAATCGTCTACATTGAAGTGGTGAAAACCGTTCTCAAAGACAGAAATAGTAAACATATTTAGTCTAGTATCTCAAAAGTTATTAGAGATAAAGGGGTGGTGTAAATTAACGAAATTTGTATTCCTGAGAGCAGAATGTTTAAATTGTTTAAAGAATATACTCAAAATTGTAACCTTTCTGTTCATTTTTCTTGTAAAATATATATCGATTTTCCCGTCAATTTGTGTATACAAGTTACACATACAGACACAAAATACGGATAAATAAGAATTTTGATTTTTTTTAAGCAGCATTTTCAAAGTTTTATTTGATATTCTACGTTGAATGAAACAGATGTGAATATTACGCGAAATTGATGAATGAAACACGTGTTATTTAAATTTTTCGAACTGTTTCACACGAATTAAAAGTTTCATATTTAAGCATCAAGTGTACGTGACAATTGTTACTATTGAATAAAAAGCACTAAAAACTTAGCATTGTTAGTTTATTAAATAATCGATGATTTAAAAAAAGCTATCTGTTATATACATATTTTACTGTTAATAAAATGATTTTCAAGACTTCGAAAGAAAGTTTGTTTAGAGACGTTTATCTGGAGACGATGTGTTTTCATTGACTGAAAAAAACAAAATTGAAGAAGAGAGGTTGAAGATAAAATGAAACTGTAGAAGATAGTTTCGATAAAGACAAAGTGATTCATTCTATTCTTTTCATTGTATCTAATTGGTCAATCAGAGGTCGTTTACACGAATCGTGTTTTGTACTATACATGTATATTTGATCTTTTATTGAACTCGAAGCAAAAGTCGAAGAACGTTGCACAGTCATTGTTTAATAAACAATTACATATAGATACATTAATTCTTCATTTACCAGCAACGAAATTCTATCCACATGTTTAGTACAATAAATTCGATCGTTCTTTTTAATTGAGGTTAAATCAACTTAGTTTCCCGTTTTTACTTACGTAACATTCATCTTATTCTACCAAGTAAAGATTATAGTTCAAGTGTTAAACATCAATTTCTACGAAGTTTCCGAGAATTCTACAGTAATTTTCTAGTCTTCTGGGGAATTTGATAATAACAAACAAATAGAGACGTCAATTGGAAAAAAAAGTAACTTCTGCGAAATGTGGAACTTAACCTAAAAAACAGACTTTTTCAGGTTCTTCCCATTTCCGTACATTTTTCATGCATTTCACTTGAAACTTTTTTTCGTAGAATAAAGAAGCAAATTTATTTGTTTGAAGTTCCAAGGCAAAAGTTTACTTTTCACTCATGGTGCTTTTATTTAATTTTTTTTTTTAATTCGGAAACTACCATAAGTACTTGTTCGTAAATATACTCTCGTCGAGTTGTAGCAACCGTCGTTTGCCATTTTCCAACATATCGAGGGTTATCAATCAAACTAAACTTTCAGTTTTACACGAATGCTCGTCTGTCGATGGTTACAAGCCGACTAGTAATTTTCTGTGTCGTAACTATAGCTTCCTTTCACGTGAAGAGGCCTTACGAATCATTAGATTCCCCCTCGTGAAACATTCGAAATTCTAGCCTGAAACCGGCGATCTCTGCTTTAGTAATTGGACACAGCTTCTAGAAAGTATATTTATAACATAATCGATAGAGTTCGTTTTTGATAACTTAACGAAACGTGTTTGACGTTGAAGCGATCAAATATTTATCCGTGTCGGGAATAAATATCACAATAGATAGTGTACGTGGTGACAGAACCAATTGGGATCAAGCTGTTCAAACATTGTCAATCTTCTGAAACGAAATTTTTTTTTTTAATAAATCAATACAAACGATACTTTGTTCATTTCTGAATTTTCGTGCAACAAGATATTCTTCATTTTTTTTATATCTTCCATGATTTTCGTCAATTTTCTTCGAATTCACATAAACGATACTTTGCTCATTTCTGAATTTTCGTGCAACAAGATATTCTTCATTTTTCACGATTTTCATCAATTTTCTTAAAATTTCACAATTTCACATATTTTGCCGTTTATTCAAATTTTCATTCATCTCCTTCGTTTCTTTTGTTCTCGTCGAATAATTCCGCGAGATTATTCCTAATCGCGATATAAATGATGGACATAATCATGCGATCAGTATAACTAGACGCTTCTGTATTTTAAAGAAGATAGAGAACAGTACAGGTAGAAGATTGATATCCGTCTGTTTGTTTGCGATTATTAAACTGTATCTGTTTGCAATATTGCCGGTGAATGTATCCAGGTACAAAGGCTTCTAGATATTCGCGTGGACGTGTTAGTGTGCAGGAAAAGAACGTTGACTGGAAACGTGCTTAAAACAAATACCGTAAATCTGTCTGGTAACAAACATTGATAAAATTTCGATTAAAGACAACTCCTTTGTACGAGTAACGTTCTGATGCAGACATTATCTTCTTCGACGTAGATAATTATAATATGCATTTTATGGAGATAATTGTATCGGTAAATAATGAGGTATTATATATTTTCTATTCAAAGTTTCGTGCACTAAATATAGACTTAATTCAAACCATCGAAATTAATCCTATTTTTTTTTAACACAATTGCGTTTCCTTGCTTTTCTTTTTTTTTTTCTGTTTAATTTCAAAGAAGAAAATTAATTCGTGAGAATTGCAAGAAAAAGTGAATTTTCTTTTCTAATCTTCTAATTGTCAGAAAAATGAATTTTTAACGAAGAAGTGGGAACGCAGTATGATCGAAAAAGATCTAACAAAATCCTTGTAATCATTGTTACAATTTCTTTTACAATTACAATTGCACTCTTTTTTGTTCAGTTGTCATCTTTGCTGCAAAGTCTTTTCGTAAAAAATTCTTCGTTCGTTTCAATACTACCGGCCAAAAGTTTGGAATCATCTCCCAGTTTTCATCAGTACTGAATTTGCTACTAATTTTTTATAGACTTGAAGTTTATCTCAACTCTACATTTATCAATTTATCTCATATCGATTGATTTGAGTGATAAAAAATTCCAAAAGCTGCTGAATTTATTCTGGAAATTTTTGTGCAAACTGCAGTGCACGGTGATTCCAAACTTTTGGCCGGTAGTGTATATGCATATGACATCTCCTTTTAATCTCAAGAAAATTCATCAAAGAGAAAGATCTGAAGATTGAGAATTGATGTTAACAGTGAAATACAAAACGGAGCGTGTTGGATTATAAGGAGAAATGAGTATCTGTCTGTGTAATAGTAACAGCAAAAATGATCAACATACTGAGACAGATTAATATAAATATATTGTGACGACCGCCACAGGGGGGCCACGCACTTAGGCCTGGCGACTCTTGGCCCTCGAGGCGAAGAATCGAGAGATGTTTTTCAAAACATCTCCGAGCTTCTTCGTCCTCGAGGACAAGAGTATTGCGCCCCAACTTC